AACTTGATTGGTGCCGGGAATCGAGAGGTAGACACGGATGAAGTCGAAATCTTGCATTGACGTACAGGCATCATGCTTATGCGAAGGTGTACCGATTCAGGTAAAAAAGTCAATCGACGCATACCCTGCGAATCGGATCCTCCGTAACACTCTCCACCCACAGAATTTACCCTCAACTGGGAACCTCGTGTGGCCAGGATGGGTAATTCGATGGAAGTGTCACAAGGTTCTAGGTTCTTTGTAGGATCGACTCCAAGAGGTGTTCTCGGGACTGACACACATTGTGTCCTTGGGAAAATATCCAAGTCAGGAGAAAAAGTGTGCACCCAAGGAGATTCGAACTAGTATCCAGCTGACCCATGTGCGAAGGTGTACCGATTCAGATAAAAGTCAATCGAAGGATACCCGGCGAATCGGGTCCTCCTTAACACTTAGACTATCTTCTGCCACGCCGCCGGCAACACTGAGTATTGGAAACATTAGCTGCTGGTCTTGTGCTTGTACAGCACTTGGCATTGTGCTGCAAGACGTACTACAGGTGGAGTACTCTTGAATGTCGTCAGCTAGATTTGAACTAAAATTGCTGTTGGGGTGCCCCCTCCCCTGCTGCTGCTGTGTTGCGCCGCACACACTTGTGCCTGTTGACTCGGGGCCCTCACCCAGCAGCACAACTCTCCGGAATCCCGGAGAAAAAAAAAAAAGAGAGGATGGAGTAGCGACAGTAACATGCCAGCTACACTAACAGGGACCTTAGTCACTGATAACGTTGTGCTAATGTCGCACGCAGACAGGCACGGCCGGCGATACTACAGTTGTATGTACACATTATTCATTGTTAATGTGTTTTTTCTAAAAGCATACGACAAATACAATGTACGCACTGAGCGTTGGGTGTGTCGAAAACACGAGGAAATACTTACACACGAACACCTCGCACAAAACCGCCCCCCCCGGGTTACCCAAACCTATCAACATCGTGCCCGAACTGAAGGAAACAACAAATATCTTATGTACAGTCAGTACGACACAGGCCCGGAACGCACACAGCATCCCCGTACCTTTGAGGCAGTTTACGACTAACAAAGTACCATGCCAAAAAACAGCGGACACCCAGCGCGGCCGAAGGGAAAAGAATCTCCCCCGTCCACTTCCCTGCGCAACTGGGTAGGAAAATACAGGGGAGAAAACGCGCGCTCTAGCCGGCTGGTCAGCGTCAGGCTTCTGTTAGACCGCCTGATATCTTGCATCCCAGGGTCGTCGTATTTGACGGATGGCTGCATCCAACGGAAGTGAAGCACGCGCCTATTTAACCACCAACAAGGACGCGCAAAATGCGGCATAGAAATATGGAGTAAGAATAAATCATACCACAGAGATCTTTCCCTACGATGTGGAGATTTGACGTGCAAGAATGCCCGGCACGACACCCCCAATCCCAACCCAGGTCTCTCAAGGAACGTTACATGCACCTACCTGAAGAAGTTGCCAGATCTCAGTTCCAGGCGTCGGTGACGAGATCTGCAACACCATCATCTGTGTCTCCGTCACTCCAGCCAAGGTCGTCGCTCTTCCCGCTCAACCTGTCAGATTCCCCATCGCTGGACCCAGATTCGTCCGAATCCAACTTGATCAAATCGTCGAGCGCACCGACCGAACCGTCGCCGTTCTCGTCCGTCTCGGGGTCCTCCAGTTCTTCTGCGTTCTTCGATTCCGCGGCCTCGCCGGAGGAAATGTCGTTGCTCGTAGGTGACTCAGGGGTCCCCGCATCCACGCCGTGCTGTTCCGCTTCGTGCGATTCCTGCTGCTTCATAGAGGCCATAAAGAGTGCCATGGCGTTGGCAACACTCTCGGATAGCCATGGTCGAGTCTCGATGGGTGGTTGGGGTCGGGCGGCACCCTCGATCGACCCAGTTAGGGTGCAACGACCTCTGCAGCCGCAAGCGAGCGAGCACTTCCTGTCCTTCCACCTGCACCTGTTGCACAGGGTCGTCTCGGGATTGCAACCACACGCTAGCGTGATTGTCTTTCGGTCTGGGCCGATGTAAGAAAACTCGGATAGGTCAAGCACGCAGTTCTTGACTGTGAGTTCGACGCCGTCGTTTCTCTTCCCTTGTGGGTCGACGCTCCATCCTTTGCCGGCAAACTCTGTCGCCGGCATGGCCTCTCTCAGGCCATTCTGCCAGTACCGGAAGATGGCATTACTCCGTTCGGCCTGCTTGCGCAAGGAAAAGTATGACGGACAGGTGGCGGTCGTCTTCTTCTTGGGTGGTTGGAGGATGGCGTAGCGGATTCGTCGACATCCACGACCCACGTGCCGTCCTGCTCTTCGAAGAACAGCGGCTTGTCAAACAAACCTTCCGTCCGCACACTCTTAAGGACGAGTACCCACATCTTGTCGAACGGCAGCCCGGAAATTGACGGGAGGTAGTCACAGCCCGACTCCAGGAAGGTCGACGAACAGACGGACCTTGTCGTCGTCCGTGGGAATCCAGCTCCCGAAGGTCAACGGCGGCCACGCGGACTTGCTTCCGTCCTGGAGTTCGCAGATGCTGGCGAACACTCTGTTCATCCACAGGAACTTGGTCTCGCCACCCACGACCCTCAGGACGGTCACATCAACCGCCCTCTCGCCACGGGGCGTGAGCCAACCAGTGGTCATCGCCAGTAGAATGATCATCCATAGGTCCGTGTCTTCCGATGAAACGACCCACTCGTCGAAGATTTCCCCCCAGTACTTCTTCGCCCAAACGATGAAGTGTATCACGGAGAGCTTCGCCTCGCCGATGTCTGGCCCACGCTGTCGCTCGACGCCCTCGATCGTGTCGGTTCCGTCTCGAAAGTGAAGGAGTGGTTCGGTTTCGGAAAGCGCCTGCCCGGCACCTTCCCTCCCCACCTCGAGACCTATGCCCTCGGCATCTACACCAGGTGGATGATCAACACTCAGATTAGGCTCACCTCCGACGCCGTAGAATGCGACGATTCCGTTCGGCTTGGTGTCGCCGGTCCAGACATCATCAGCTAGCACGCGCGTGGCGAGGTGGGCGGCGATTTCGTCCCGCGCCGCCTTACCATCGGCTCGAAGCCATGGCCCGTACTGCAACGACGGAACCGGGTCCGTTGACTTCGGGTCGAAGGTCGTAGAGCACTCACCAAGTTTCTCGGTTCTCCCGAGCTGCTCGTGTCCTTGATCACGGGCACCAGATCCTGTCGGTCGTAGCACACCACGAGTAGCTCCGTCGACTGCAGCCACTTCGACAACAGCTGCTTCTTGAAGTAGTCGATAATCCCCGCAGTTCCCTTCTTGAGATATTCCGGGTGCACCCCTTGGTGGATTGACACGGGGAGATCTACGCCATGAGCGTCGGCTTCGTAAAACGGGTCGTCTGCGAATCCATCGGCACAATGCTCTCTGACCCATTTCCCTGGACCTGAAGCCTTGTTGGCGTGCTTGGCTCCTGACACATTAAAAGGAGAGATTCCCAACAGGGTGTATGGGGGGGGGGGGGGGGGGGGGGGGAA